TTCATGCTAAGCCACTTTTCTAAATTCAACAACTAATATCGTTGACATTTTCTTACAAATATTAACATTAGCTCTGATATAACTAAATCTATCAACTAATAATTTACTTTAGCTTTGGATTTCAGAATCGTTGAAGTAGCTATGGTATAAAATTTAGGGTTAGCAAAATATCCGTAAATTTTGATTTGATTCGTTATCCGTTTCGATTCAAACCGAAAAAATCTGGATATACATAACTCTACAAGAAAAACAAATATTAAAATGTGACATCCGTAAGAGACAAAGCAAATAACAAATACTAATATTTTTAGGAACAAATATACGATCCGTTATATACATATATATACATATATATACATATATATACATATATTTAAAGAAGTATTTATAGAAGTTATATAAAATATAATTTTATATATGTTTTACAAGATTTTTTATTTATTAAATGTATTATATTAGTTAGTAGAATTTTAAAAATTAATTATTTTTTGTAAAATTAGTTAAATTTTATTTTTGTAATAAAATATTATTATTTTGGATTTTTATTTATTTTTAAAAATTTTATTTTATTTTTACGGATCGAATCAGATATCCGGTAAAATTCTAAAATTTTCCGGATATCCGGGATGGCGAATATCCGAAGGACTACGGATCGAATCGAATTGGATAATTAATTATTCGAACAAAATAGATCGAAACACGAATATCTCTAAATATCCGGAGATTTTCTTCGTGCCCACCCCTAATATAAATCGATATTATGTATTTTATACGTACTGGATTTTGAGGTTATTTTTGGTTAAAAAAATTGGACGATGATTCTTGTGGGGTAGTATAGAACTGGCTTTTTTCTTTAGCAACTTATAGAAGTGGCTACAATAACAAAAATTCCTTTAGGATTGAGAGAGATAATCATTTGAAAGTTAGGGGATGTGAAGCAAATATGCACATGCTCCTCTAAGAAATTGCATATATATTAAGAGATGAAAAGCTGAACTCTTTTTGTGTTGCACGTTCCACTGTTCTTCCTTTTCAACCTAATTCAGTTTATAACTTTAGCACCAACTTAGTAGTATAGATGATCCAATCATATTTTCTCCGTTTTTGGTGCAACTCAGTTATCAATTATAGGTCCTAAATTATAATTTAAGGTCGCTAATTACATGCATTAATATACGTACTTACATGTATATACATATTTAATAGCTAGACACATACATATGTAGGAATAGTCCTAAGCATAAAGAAGTAAAATAATGGTATAAAACCCCCAAATTAATTTGTAAAAGAATTTTTTTTGCTTATTGCCCCCCTCCCCTCATATATATTGATTATTTTATGTTCGCATAACGAAATAAAACATTGATATTGAACTACCAAATGTTTTTAACAAATTTACATAGAAAAAAAAAGGAATCCTCAAATTTGTAAAGAATGTTTTAAAATTGTGTATGCCCTCCCCCCTTAAAAACTTCTTACTAAATTGCTTCTCCCCTCCTCCCCCATCAACATCTTAGGGACGCCTATTTATCGATAAAAAGAATCGTATTAAAAATCATCGAAACTGAATTCATCATTCATGAACATGGTTAGACACATTATTAATAATTTATTACATACATTGTTTCACTCATTGTTTCAATCTATCGAGTTATATATGCATGCAACATGCGTTTGGCCATTGGTATAGAGAAAGCCTAATATGCTCTCTATCTCTCTCTACTTTTCTATACGTGACAAACGTCGCTGCGGCACCTGTAAACATCTCCGCGTGTTGACACAAATGATGAGAGAGAGAGAGAGAAAGAAATAGTTCCTCTCAGTTCAATTGATATAGAGTGCACTTTAAATGCAAAGTAGAAATAAACGGTCATGATTTTCAGTGCCTTAGGGTTGGAACGGAGCAACGGCAGGCATTTGTCACTCTCTTATTTACTTAACCCACTTCTTTAGTTCTCTCAGACATATACATGTCATTTCGTATTTATTTCTTCAAGTCCTCATTAATAAAGTCTTTATATCTTCCTAATTTTTGCATATATATTGGTCCTAAAAGATGTACAAAAACCAAACCCACCTCTGTATTTTAGTTTTTGTAGTGCTTCTTCACTCTCATACGCAAACGATCGTTAACGTTTAATATGTTAGATTTTTTGCTATATGTGGACCTCAATAAACCTCTTTCTCTTCACGTATTGACATTCATTTATATATATGAAGTCATGCCTCATATACACCTGTCCAATCAAAAAATGTTTGGTTGTGAATATGAATTATCACTATAATGTATTAGTTAATTAGAAGTCTGAATTGTATTATTAGTATCAATCCATTAGTTTTGAAACATGTCTTAATTTGTGTGGCTTTCCGCTCTTATATATTTTAAGATAAAGTTTCGAATTTCTCTATATACATGAAGGAGATTCACCGAGTTAAATGATATTATCCTATTTTGTTTTTGTAAAAATGCTAAATATTTTATACTATTTTGAGGATAAATAATGTAAATTTTATGAGTTGCTACTTTAAAATCAATTGACTAAGTAGGTTAGCTTAACTCTTTTTATATATTAGTAAATTATTTATTCAACTATCAATGTAAGATTTCATTACATTCAACACTCTCATTCACTGTGTGAACAGTATTCAGAGTGACCCAATATCAGATGACTCTGACACCATATAATGTTGTTCCATTGGTTTTGAATGTAATTGGTACTACATTGGTTCAAAATGAACTAATCACGTTTGGATAAATTACACACGACTATATGATAGCATAAAACTCGTTTCTACTGTCTAAATATTTTAGAATCTCCTGAGTAATTCTACTAAATCTGATGTGGATTATTTCTGGATAGTTTTCTCGTGTGGTATATGAACACTATACTTATACGTATGTATATTAACTCTTTTATTTATTTATTTTCTTATCTGGTAGTGAAATAAATTGAGGAATATATGTAGAATTTTTAACGAATATGGAAATATTTAAAAGACAATAAATGAGTAGAAAGAAAGTTTATTAAAATTTGTAATAAGACCATCTCCAACCCAAACTTATTTTTTTCTCTATAATTCCCACAAAAATAGAGTAACTCTATTTTAGAGTAATTTTTGCTCCAATGATTTACTATAAAATAGAGTTATTCTATTAAATAGTAGAAAATAGAGGGATATTACTTTCCACTTTATTTTCTATTTTATAATAGAGTAACTTTATTTTCGAGTGAACCATTAGAGCAAAACTTACTATAAAATAGAATTATTCTATTTTTATGAAAATTATAGAGGAAAAAATAAATTTGGGTTGGAGATACCCAAATAACCAGTGAAAATCGGTCGGACTGTTTATCATCATTATAGATAAACACTTTCTGTCCGAAGCTAACGAAATATGAAACGGTTTTTGTTTATGTACCTCGTTATAAGTGTAACGGTCACGGACCACAACGACAACAGAGTAGTACATTTCCCATCACTCCTATATTCTAGTAGTATAAACTCACTCATGCAAGTACAACTTACCCACTTTGTATTTAATTTAAATGATTTTTCCCAACCTAACATTAATTAAAGGCTACATGTAGATTTTATTATCCTTTACATGGATTGCTTTCGTCAGTAAAATGTTTGAAAAATCTCAGTTTAAGCTTCACGAAAAAAATTGTAGACAAAACAAACCCAGTCTACGAAGAAACAAACTTAGCAGAGATAATCTATATTATAATAATACAATTTCAATGCTTCTAAGCCTATCCACCTTAGCAAGTTTGCGGATCCCGCGTGTGTTATTAGGAAAAACAAAAACGTATAAGATTTTGTAAGATTAAATGTTATTGATGAGTGATGAAATGGCCCAGTGGTGTAAATTGGTGTTTAGAAGTTGGTACTGCGAATGTGCGGGTTCGAAACGCAGTGTTTGCATGTAATTTTTTTCTTTTAATTTGGGCTTTTCGAGATACCTAAAAGTTTGGGGAGATTCAGAATGATTTTTTATGCTGATTGTTGGGATACAAAATGGCTTAAAGATTTGAAACTTTATGAGACCATCTTAGATACTTTTATAAAAAAGATTATCATGTTCTAACCTCCTATATTATTTCAATTCAGTTATAATCGTCAAATAAAATAAAAACTTATTTTTGCAATAATAAATATTTACCCCGAACCATTTAGATCAGCCATAAATCTCATATACATCACAATTAAGAATATATATATATATATATATATATATATATATATATATATATATACAAAATAATTTCAGAAAGAAAATTACACTAATAAACACATGTCCTTTTTTGTCTTGTCTCCATTAAATTATTTTTTTATATGAAAACACTAATAACAGTAATGTTCGATAAAATCACTAATAAAGGGAATGCTCGATAAAATCACTACGAAGATAAAATATGAAAATATCAACCTATATGAATTCAATGTTTATTATTTTATCAGACTAATCAAGTTGTGTGACTTCTAATGTTTCATTCATCACCATTATAGATAAGCCAGATAAACAAATATTTAAAAAAAAAACAGCAAAATCTCATACACAAAACAACACAACACATCAACAACATATCCAAACCCCGTCCAATGCATCTAGTATTGTAAACTTTAGGGTCTGTAAACGCTTTATATTTTCCTTTTCAACGATTTAAAGTGTAGTGTGGCGTAATAAGTGACAATAACTTGCAAGATTCTATAAAACGTGTCTGTGCGAAGAGAGTCAATTTTCTAATGGTCTTACATTCAGCATATCAAGAAATCAATTAACAGTAATTTGTAAGATTCTATGAAACATGTTTTTCAAGAAAAAAAAGAAGAGAGTCGAAATACATTGTGGAAGCGCAACAACATCCTCTAAGGTTCTTTGAAATTATTAATAAGGGATAATTCAGTTTAAACCGTGTAACTGTAGATTTAAATCTAAAAAATTAATTAGAAAGATTATATATGGTCAGTCGGTCACCACTCATATAGTCTTTAGCTCTTAATACAATTGGACCAAAGATTCATATTAACTTTTAAAGTAACAAGATAAAACATTTCACAAAAATCTGGTAATAAAAACGAAATTTAATACATTAAAATATAGATAAAACGTTTAATTTATAATTTCCGTATATTAAAATTAAAACTTCTCAAACTCTATGATCCCTCTCCGTCTGTATTTGCTGACGACATGTAACTCACCACAAGAGATGTCTCGTCGGTCGCAGCTGCAACCGCTTGAAACTGTCCTTTACAAGTCTGACAAGTAACTTGCATCATCGTTGAGCTTATCTTCTTCATAGATTGTTCCTTTAAAAGCGTAGCTCTCTCAAGTTCAGCTTGTGCTTGTTGCCTTATCCTCTTAGCATTCACAAACTCATTTTCCGCTACCTCTCGTTGTCTCTTCGCTTCTCTATTAGCTTCCTCCGCATAAGCTTTCTCCTTCATTGCTATCTTCATGATCTGTTCACTCGCCATAGTTTCTTTTATTAGACCAAAGTTGTTGTAATGATGATATGATGATGATGGAGCAATGGAGAGATTTAAGTCTGTAGTATCATGATGATGATGATGAGGAAGAGGAGATGGTTCTTTATTAGGGTTTTGATTCGGTGTCAATGGAAGAAGCTGGAGTTCGAGATTGAGATTTGATGAGTTGGTGAGAATTAAAGGCGTTAAAGATGAGTTTCTGATATGAATTGGGCGTCCTTCTAGAGGTAGAGGAGTCGCAACCGTAACCGCACCAACCGCACCACCGTAATTCGTTTCGCTAGATGGAGTGCTTGCGGTTGAGGCGGTTCTAGAGGAGCAGGCCATGACAGTAACTGCGGTCTGTGGCGGTGGTTCATGGTAAACAGTCCGTACGGAGCAGTTGTCTTGATGTTCAATAAAGCTCTCCACCCTAAAAAGAAAAGAAAAAAAACTATTGATTTAATATGATATAGGGTTATGAACTGTCAAAGTGATTATTATATTGGTAAGCTTATAATTTATTATTGAGTTTCTCTGTTTAAGCCTATGAAATAGCTTAGAGCATCCACATCAATGAACCCCCTTTTTGGGTTCATTGAATCAGTTTTTTATTATTAAAACTTTTCTATTTTCTTTTTGATTTTTTTAAAAAAAAAAAAAAACAAAAAAGACCTAGACCAATCCCGGGCCGACACGTGGTGAACCTTAGGAGAGAGGGGTTCACCAGGGTGAACTTTAGGAGAAAGGAGTTCATAGATTTTTGTTATTTTATTATTTTATTTTTTTAGTTTCCGTGTGAACCCCCCATTTGAACTCTCAATGGGGGTGCTCTTAGGACCCATTGTAAATACTATTAACATAGGTTTATGTCCACTAAAAGCCTAATAATGTGTAATTTCTATAGAGATTGGGGTCAGTGTCTTAAACCTAATTAAATAAGTTTCCTTTTTTCTGGTCAACAATTAACTAAATTTATTTTCATGTCACAAACCAAACAAAACAGTCAAAGAGGAGATCTTAGAACACTGATGCATCAGTGTTCTTTTTTTTTTTTGTGTATTCACTATTGATATGTATGCATTAGTGTTCTTTTTTTTTTAGTAAAAAACATGAGGGTTCGACGGTCAAATCAAACAAAACTATGACTATCAATCTTGTTTTTGGGTCACGACTCACTAGGGTAATTTTCTATTTATGACCTATTATTTTCTTCTGTTAGTACGTACATATGAATATAAAAACAGTCAAAGCCAATATCTTGAATATTAAGCAATTTTTTTAATTTATTTTAATCTGTCAAAAAGCTTTCTCTTTCATGAATATAAAACCAATAATTGATAATATTAAAAAAACGGTCCAAAATTCAAATAGTCGATTTTTTTCTGATTAAAAATCGAATTACAGTGAGAAGAACAAAAGAAGTTTTACCTGGAGAAGACGCGACCACAGTCACAAGAATGGCCTCTGGTGCCACACGTTTTGAGATGAGCTTTGTAATCTGATTGAACAGCATAACCTTTAGAGCATCTCTCACAAACCCATTGCTTATGGTTACTGTGTTTTCGTCTGAAATGTTTTTTTATTCCGACAAGATCTCCAAGAGCATGACAAGGATCATGGTGAAGACAAGTGGGTTCAGGGCAAACATAGACTCGTTTCTTCACCTCTATGTTGTTGTCTCTCTTCAGAAGCTTCCATGGAACCTTGTGACGTCTTCGATGCATCTGGAGATTTTGATCTCTTTGAAACCCTTGGTTACAGATCTCACATATGTATCTATCTGATTCAAGAAGAGTTTTTGGTGATAGAGACACAACTTCTGCATCTGGATCTGAAGACAAGAAGCAAAGTCTATTAAGACACATGTTTCTTATTTCGAGTAACATTAATAAAATTTGAGATTTTTTCATTTTTTATTTTTAAAAAGGTTAGGAGCCCATTATTACCCCCCATAAACTTGAAATTGGTAATATGAAAATAATAATGAAACTCTAAAATAAAACCCATCACAAAACATGTCTTGATTAAACATAAATTTTGAATGGGGTTTAACTTAACTTAAACTTTAACCTATCAAAAGAACATGCCTTTGATTAAACATTAACAAAAGGTGTGTGTTCAATGGATTTTAAGAGAAACCAGGTAAAAGTACCAATGATGCCCATGAGCTGAAATTGGTCATAAGGAAATAAATACAGAAAAAAGACTGAAACTTAAACTAAAATTTTATGTAGTAGGTCTTTATTATTACCTGGTGTACCTGCAGGTCTTCTTTTCCTCTTTTGAGTGGATGTGTTTGTTGTGGGTACCCCATTTTCTGAAGGAGGGAGGAAATGATCAGAAGAAGAAGAAACCACACAACGTGTGTTAGTAGTGTTCTTGTTGGAAGCAGCAGCATCCAACATCACTACTGCTCCTTGATCTGCTCTCATCAATCACTTCTTCTCTTTCTCTCTTTTTGACTTTATTGTGTTTGGATTGTAGAGATTGATTTGATGAAACAGCAAAACCCAAAGAAAAAACAAAAATAAGAATAATAAAATCTGTAGATAGTGGGAGGTTCAGCTTTACAAAGAAGAGGAAGGAGCAATAAAGAGAAAGAGGGAGATATATATGGGATAAAAGTTCTTTTAAGCTTTCTGCATCAAAAGCTTTTCAAAACTTTTTTTAGATTCTTCAAAGCTCTCTTATGTTATACTATGATGAAAGCTTTTTCTTGAGTCTCTTTCTCTTTCTTTCTCTAGCTCTCTCTTTGCTATTTCGAATCATTAACCTATCTCTCTCGTAAACTTGAGAGTTTAGAGCAAGTTAGGGGGTCTTTGCTGCCTATATTTCCTTGCTTATAAAGCCATTACACTGTTCCATCATTACATACATTCTATACATACATAGAGAGAGAGAGGGGGATGTGTTATTTACATTTAGAATTTTCTTTTTGTTATTTTGTATTTATATTGTAGACTTTGTTTCTTAGAGTATGTTGGATATATGGATGTTTGGCTTGGACCCATAACTTGTCTGATTGATGAATTTGTCTGAGTTTTATATATGAACATTCACAAATGTAAATTTTAAAACATTTTTATTATATATTTGTTATTATCTACACTAATTTTACATAATATATGAAACAGTTTCGATGATATATAGCTTTCATTACCAAACTAGATCTTCTATTGGAATTTATATTTCCATTTATGGTTGATTCAATAAATAAGCGGTGTTCTATTTCGAACAAATTCAAATATATATAGGATTATTAAATTAGTGCATGTATTATAAGGTAATAAGAAACAGTTAAATAACTAGGATAACTTATTTATAGTGTGATTAGTTTTTTTTACTGTCACTCTCAATTCCTATAAATAGTGTGTATATACATCACTAATACTGTAATACATCTTTGCGTTCCATCGCTGCTAAAGCAATCCAGTGATATATACAAATTTAGAGAACTTATCATTGTTAACTATATATGACATAATATGTCATCATTTTTCAAAGGTTGGTCCACAACTACATTACTACATGTTAAGATTCTTTTCGAATCACACTTGAAAACAAAAGAAGAGGAAAAAGATATATGGTTCTTGTGAATAATCCAAGGATAATTTCATAATTGCGTTAAATACCAATTCTGTAAGTTTCAATAATGTAGACAATCCATTATTTTTTCTATTTGGCTTATATATTGGTTGTACTCTGCACCCATAGAGTTAAGGGAAAACATATAAAAAGATGCCCTCGCTCAAAAACAAAATATAAAGAGAAATTTTCATATATATATAGTAAAAGACAGACGAGAAATCAAAATACATGCATAGCATAATAATTCAAGCCAAGAATTTTAACATGTTTAGCAACAACAAAAAAATAAATTCAAGGCAAGAATAAATTTGAAAGTGTTATTTAATTTTCTCGTGGAAAATATATTTAAATAAAATATTCGATCCCGCACGTGATCTTACGTCTTACTCACGTGACCTTTTTTCCACCCTCCACTGTCGTTTCCTTTTATTAGCCTTTGCCTTCCTAGTTCCTTTTCCTAGTTCCTTCAGAGTCATTTCCTTAGAGCATCATTAACGGGGTATGCAACTCCCGTCTCTTCGTATTAATAGCAATTAAAAAAAAAGAAAATTAGGTTAAATACGAAGATACGTTGTTTCATTAGGAGAAAAGAAGACACGGTCTTTTGATACACGTGTTGGCTAAAGAGCGTTCATCTCTTTCTCTCTTCCCCCTCCGTGTCTCTCTCCCTCTCGTAGACGATACTCGATGGCAACGATTCTTCCCCAATTCTTCAGGGAAAGTCAAATATACTTCTACTGTGTTAGATTATGGACGGAGGAGGTGGCGATGGTAGTGGTGCCGCGTACAACCACACACGATGGAGTTGGTTTTTAGGGATTTTATGGATCGCAGGAATGGCATGATTAAGGCGTTAACCACTGGTAATATTTGGTCACTCGCTCTTCGTTTTGTTTCTTCTTCCTCCATTGTCGTTAAAAATCTCAACCCTTCAAGGATTTGTTTATGGGATTGACGAAAGTCACTGTTTTTATTATGTGTGTGTTTGAATTGTCTTTGTTGTGCTCTGTTTTGAGCTGATTGTTGAAAGATGCATTAGGGGTTTTGATAGTTTCTCTGAATTATGAGCAATAAAGGAGTAAAGTTTTGTTTTTTGTTTGTGGGATTGATTTCCTCCTATGAAAGTCTTTGCTTTTTTTATTTTTTTTATTTTTTTTGTGTTGTTTTCATTGTGCTCTGTTTTTCTGAGCTCTCCTTGAAAGCGGAGTAAAGTTTATATTTTTGAATATTGATTTTGGATCCTACATTGGCCAAAGAACACCAGATAAAACTGTAAGGGATGTAGCTCTAAGGTGTAGATGGATAATAATTTTTATGACATTGGGACAAAGTTTATTATATGTGTTTGGTTTGCTTTTGTTTGAACTTGGTTTTAAAAACCATGCTTCTTTATGTAAGGTGGTGGATGCATCCCCAAAACTGAACATAGTAGCCAATCTGCCTCAGCAAAATGCTTTATATGCCATGAACAATAACTACCGCAGTACACACATGCCTTTTGAAGGTTTAGTTCTCTTCTCCTGTGTTTTGTGGTCTCAAATAGAAAAAAGATGAGTATTACCAGTTAGTTACCTTTGCTGTACTCTTCGTCTCAGGTATAAGTGATGCAGTAATGGCTCTTTTACAGCAAAACGCTCAAGCTTTTAGTCAAATTTCGTACAACCTCTCGTGTACAAGTAATTTAGTCTTCTTTTTCTTTTTGCAATCCTTTGTGCCTAGTTGAGTGAGAAGATTGATAATGTTTGATCCGGTTTCCTGGTACATTCATGCAATTAAAACTGGTACATTCATGCAAAATGTTTGATAATTTTTTTTTAAAACCCCTAATTAAGAGACTTGCAATGGAGCATAAAAATGTTTAGGTTTCTTAATGCTGTCTCTTAATTCACTTTTACTATTTTAAAGTATTAAAAAATAAATAAGAGACCCTAAATGGGTATATGGGATAATGGTGCTCTTAGGCAGGTTTTATTAACAGATCTAAAATGAGGGGAATGAAAGTATTTTACAGCGAAATATAATAAAATTATATATGTTATAAAATTAATTTGAGTTTTGAAACTCATTCTAAAGATTCCAAAATTAATTGTCTAAGTTGAGTTTTGAAACTCATTTTAAGGATTCCAAAATTAATTGTTCTTAAACCATGTATAACTGTTTTAAGATTCACCAACTTGTTTTTCATCTTTTAATATCTTATACCATTTTTTTTCCACCTTATCATTCAATACAAATTCAATTTTTATATATTATAATTATTTTGTTTTAACAAAATTTAACATTTTATTTTATTAATAATTATTTTTAAATCTAAATTATATAAATCTAGTACTATTTAGAGAGAATTTAAAATAAGAAAATGAATAAAAATAAAATATTTAATTTATAATGAAATTATTAATTTTAAATAATTATGAAAACAAAATAATTTTTACAATATTTCTAAATTTCTAAAAAACAACATCTGTTATCGGTGATATCAATTTTATTTAATTTAGTATGTTAATTTTTTTATATCAAATAATCTACATCATCAACTTTTATTTTCTAACATGCTCTTCAGTAATTTTTTGGTTAACACAATCTTATGATCCAAGTTTCTCAATCACAATCAGTTCAAAAAGAAGGTTCTCAATCACAAAACATTACATATTTAATATCAACACAATTAATTAAATAAATATATATTTAAAAAAGGGAAAAAAATCATCTTTCAAAATATTTTTAAGATATGATTAATCTCCCAAAATCCCACTTAACCACTTGGTCCAGTTACATATGCTAAAGGCCGTCTCACTCCTATACTTGCCTTTCCGATATAGACGTATATAAAAAAAAAATTGAATAACCATAATAAACTGAAAATTAAATAAAAGAAGGAAGAAAATAAGAATATTAAATATGAATATTAGATTTGAGTTGAAAAGAGAGATCAAGTCACATGCTCCAAATTTACAAAGCAAAGAAATGCCATCATCTCCCCCAACTCCTCCCTTTGATTCTTTTTATCCTTTCTTCATTTACGATGCATATAATTTATTCTGTAAAAATATATATAAACCATTCTATTATTATATGGAAAAGAACATTCCCATTCATCATTACTCATTTTATTCGGATATTTTGGTCTCATGCCTTCATCCTCACGTTTGGCATTCATCCATAATTTTAAGAATAAAAAGACTGCCAAAACTATAAGATGAATATGTTTGTATACATGTTAAATTGGTACACAATACTTTAAAATTAAGTAGAAGAATTTTGATCCGCGCTTCAAAAATGTGGAATTGCCTAATTTAAAATATATAATTATATAACATGAAATTTGTAGTTAAACTTTATATTTTCGGATTGATTTTTGAAATGCAAAAAATCCTGTAACCATATTTGAAATATCTTATGATATATATTTATGTGCACAATCAGTTACATTAAATGATATGTATTGTTGCCTAAAACTAATTTCAAGAATTAAAAAAGTGATTGAAGAATAAAAAAAGATGTCATAACTGTAGGAATGTCTCTATTTAAGTGAATTTTCTTAAACATTGAAATTTTTTTACATTAATGAGTGATGCCATTATAATTTATTCAAATAATTAAGGGCAGAATCTTAGTGAACAGTATAGATATAATTACAGTGAAGAAAAAAGGCTTCGTTAACATGTAACTATTTATTGAACGGAAAGAGTGCTGGGCCATATATTCATCCACTGGACGCATTTAGAGTTAAAGTAATGAGTAAGTTATTGTTTGAGACCCATGTTATATAGTGGTTTGTACATGGGCCTGTTTAATTTATCGAACAGTAAATATGTATCAAAACTCCACGTTTGTACATTTTTTGACTTTTTTGTTTGTCAACAAGAATTCTTGGATATTAAACTTAGCACTTCTACAGAAAATATGTTTTTGAATGCATGAAGTTTAAAACAAAATTAGTACACAAACCACAAAGTTGATATATTTAAAACATAGAAATACATGTGTATGTAGATGAACTGAACGTTTTCGATATCTATTGAGAGATCGCTGTACTTTGATAATCACCGCCGTGAATTTATCATCCGCCGCCGCCATTAAACTTTATAGCTCCCCTGGCATGTCTCCATGTCTTCATTTTCTTGAACTTATTTGTTTTACTTTTGTGTTAATGTTAAGATTCTTGGTTTTTACCAAAAACAAAATATGAAGATTCTTGGATTTTTTTTGGGTTTCCTTTTCTCAGAAGGGTTTTCGAATTTTGTTTTCTCATGACAGTTTGTTTGGTTTGTTTTATTTTTGTAATACTATATTTCCCTATTTAAGCTGAATGGTGCTTACATCCACAATAGGTGACTGCATGTATGTAAAAACATATGTACACAACTTGAACTTGGTATTGTTATTGCAAAAAAAAAAAACAATGCATGTGTGGTGAATTATAGGTAGAACATATCGTGAAGACATGACTGATCAAATATTAACAAACTTTCTAAGATTCAGAGCAGTAATTAATTAGTAATTACTAGTAATAGGATCGCACGGTTTGCTCGCGCATTCGTGTAGTCTCTCATTCTCAAACATGAGTCGAGTTTTGAAGTGAGCGATAAACATTTCAGCTTTAATATCAATGTCGCTATCACCAGAATCTTCAGAGCTAAGACTGGCATTGCTAGCCATCCTAACGTAGTCTCTTTTCCTTATTTTGACTGGTGGAGGAGGAGGCGGTGGAGAAGACATAGGCGACGAAAATGAAGAACGTGGAGATGACTGTAAAGAAGACCACGAAGGCGAGCAAGATGAACGTGCTGAAGAAGTGAAATAAGAAGGCGGAGACGACGGTGGAGATAGCAAAGAAGAAGGAGGAGACAATGGTGGATGCGAGGGCAGCTCAAAAGTCATGAATGACGATTGAAACGGCAAATCAACGAGGTCATCTTCGAACTCAGCTGAGTACGCTTTGTTGCTCTTGAAGAAGGTGTAGCGAACAAAGGCGGCTAAACATAAAAGAACAGCAAGAACGTTCCATCGTTTGTCGATAAAAATGAGCCAACCAATGTGCATGAGACGGAGAGTGAATGGTATGAGGAAATGGATGGTGGAAACTGAACAAAATGCAACGTAATACAACAATATAGCGTAGAAAACAATGTAGCGGCCAAAACAAACACCTTCTCCCATATTATTTCGTTAGATTTACAAAAAGAAAAAAGGATACAAGATTAAGGGGAAAAAACTTGATCGTTTCTTTATCTCTATGCTGTTGAATAACTTAAGAAAGAAAGAGCTTGATTTCTCGGGTCTTAGAACAATGTGTATAATATAATACTAAATGATATAAGGAGGAAGGGGGAAGGAAGAAGACTAGTAACAATTAAAAAAGAAGGAGAAAAATAAAAAAAATAAAAAAAAATAAAAAAGAAGGAAACTGACTTACATTATTTGATTATGTAACCATACAAATATATCGTACAAACTACACTTCACCTGGCCCTGGGTCCCACAAATGCTCCATGCCCACGGCCACGGCCAATCCACGGTTTTGTTTCCATTGATCAACGACGACCTTCGGGATGAGGAGACGTCTCACGTCATCAATGAGATCTGTGACGTATCAACTGAAAAATAACTTCTCGCTCCACGTCACTAGTTGAGCTAATTGTTTTATATTTTTAGAAACTTCTTAATCAGAAAAGTGAGGTTAGGGATTATGTAGGACTCGTTTGTGACTATCACTACTTAATTACAACCTTCATTTTTTTCGTTTTTGTTTTAGATACTTAAACATTTTGCTCCTTAATATTTTTTCATTTATTTTTGAATTATAATCTAACTAAGTATATACCTTTTGTCTTTTGCTCTCTAAATGTAACTAGTTTTTTTTTATGAATGAATGTTAAATTAATTCAAAATAAAATAAAATGTTTTGTGCAAAGAATGTTGTTTAACATGATTCAGAATAAGAAAAACATCCAAGCTTGTCTCTTATATATAGCTTCGATTCCTCACTGCCTGTCGAGTTCTGTAATCAAACTGGCAGAGAGTCCTTGGAGATTCCCCATTTCGTCTTGTATTCCTTTCTCCCTGATGTTATTTATTGAAACTATATTTCTCCCTTTTTTTTTTATAAAAGATTATATTTCTCCAGATTGGAGAACCAATCATACTCATTTTCATTTGAATGCGTGGTTGACCAAATAAAAAATATTTAATCTAATCCGCTTTATAAAATCTCGCATTATACCCACGTTAGCAGACCGCCCATTAGGCTTTTAGGCCCATTGAATCCATATCTTGAGAACTTGAAAGCCAGTAAGTCGGCAATCAATCATACACATCAAAGGACAAACAACAATAAGTCGGCAGGTAATCGCTTCTCATACCAAATTCAACGATGGTGATGCTTATTCAGAGTTCTTAATTAAGGAAATAGTATGTTAATACATTTTATTAAATATTATATATTTTAAGTTTTAAGTTTTTTATTTTGGAAAAATATATTTTTAAAGTTGATTATAGTAAGAAACATACTTACTCCAGTATTTCAAAAGATTTTCATAAAAGTTAATCAAAAGCATAGATATGTCTTCCTAAATATGTTTCAATGAAGGCTTGTCAAGTTATGTACTAGTATCCAAGGATATAACGACGATTCCTTTTGTGCTAATTTACATATTGATATAAATATTGCGTGTAAATATCAATTTTTCCAGTAAATTGTAAATATGAAGCTTACTGTTACTACTACTAGGATGTGAACCCCCGCGAAATCGCGGGGGAAAGTTAATATTAAAATTTCAATATTTATTTTAAATGATTACATATTAAATGAAAATATATAATTTTTTTTAAAAAATAAATAATTGATATAGTTAAAATAAAAACAATTCAGATGAAAATAAGATTATTAGAATTTTATTATAAATAAAGGATATTAAAAACATTAATTGCAAAGTGATGTAACCCTTAAAATATTAAATTTTCAATATTACTTTTTTAAAAATAGATATTAAATGTTTAAAAAAATGCTAATATATAAATGTATTTAAAAATATACAGCTGATATAGTTAAAAATAAAAAAACTTGAAGATAAAAATAAGATTATTAGAATTTTATTATAAATAAAGGATATTAAAAACATTAATTGCAAAGTGATGTAACCCTTAAAGTATTAAATGTTCACTATTATTTTTTAAAAATATATATTAAATGTTTAAAACAAAAATGATAATATATAAATGTATTTAACAATATACAGCTGATATAGTTAAAAATAAAAACATTGAAGATAAAAAATAATATTATTAGAATTTATTATAAATAAAGGTTATTAAAAACATTAATTGCAAAGTGATTCAAACTAAACTAATCATTGGTTGACGCATATTGTAAAAGTATTAGATTTTCTATTATAAATAAAAAGATATTAAAAACATTTATGCTAAAGTGATGGAATCCTTCTGACTTATTAACTTTACTAATCAATATTAAATTTACAATATTATTTAAAAATGATTATATAAAAAATGTTTTAAACACGAAGGATTTGTATATTTGTTAACTTTTTTTTATCAAGAACGTATAAAATTGTATAAATCAGTATATCTCGTCTGTTGATGTCCCAAAAAAATGTTGCATATTTTGATAATATCAAAATCATTATAAGCTCAACAAATCTCTCTACCACTTTTCTATTATAGTTACATGGCTGGTTATACTATATACTAATATTTTACCTTACATAGATAATACAGCATCATTTACATATACTGGAGTTGTGTATTTATAGTAAGATTGCTTTTCTATGTCCATACAGAAAACGGCTTGTTGAGTAAAGTAAAGTGGTCGACCTCATGCTTTCCCCTTAACGGCCGGCTTTATTTATTTTCTGTATCTTTTTTCTTCTTGCAAGTTATTGTTTAACTCTAATTTTAACAGAATACAAGCGATAGCTTTCTGTACATCACTTATCTTCTTCAAGCCCTAAAAGGGAAAGAAAAACGAAAAAGTAGGACACGAAACAAAGCGAAATATTGTTCAGATTTTCAAAGAAAGATTGCATCTCCTTTTGTTAAAAGCAGGAAAAGTGTATATAATATATATCGGTCCTTTAGATCCTCTATACACTAGTGTTGATATTCAGAAACATGTATAATGTTAAATTAACTCTGAATAAATATCGTGATTGTCATTTGACAAATATTTTGAATGCCATCTAAATAATTTGATAATTCAAATATTATTGAAATTTGATAATTTCTATCATACACTCAAATTACACATTTCATACTGTGGAATTTGGCACCGATCGCTATCAGTAAACCAATTTACAGAAAGTTTATTACCCATACACCATTTGTATTATATGAAAATGGACCTAAAAAGCAAAGAAAAATAGTGGGAGGTTAAGGAATCTTTTTCTGCCTCACATCTTTTTCACTGTGGGGTTAAAAATCCCTCCTTTTCATGCAAGACCAACTTTTATTTATCAAATATTGACCTCCTCACTTTTTTCACCCTTTTTAAACACATACTCACTCACATTCACCTTCCTTTCTCATCTCATTCTCTTCACTAAGCTCATGGACTTCGATCTCTCGGTGAGTTTTTCTCTTCGTTCTTTCTCTTAATCAAAGCTTTCTTTACTTACCTATTTTGATGCTGACCCTTTGATCATTTCATTTGTTTTAAAATTTTGACACGTTACTATAAAAATTGCAAACAAAACCCTTAACATTAATTTTCTCTTGTATTCTTTGATTTCACTAGGTCAAAACTGAAAGTGTGGAGGAGACAGTGTTGATGGAATACGATGAAGGGAACAACCAACTCGAAGCCGAGTTTTGTCCCGTTGAGCATCCGGTTGAACCGGAAGAAGAAGATCGTCCGGTTAAATGTCCCGTACCGATCCCATCTTCTCTCATTTACGTAAGTTTGGTATGAACTTTGAAATGAAACCCTTTATTCTCGAAACCACACCAAGTTGTCTCAGTTATTTTACTTTTTTTTTTTTTTTTAAGTTGATAATTATATTCATTTTTATTGTGAAGAACTCAACGAAGAAAACCAAACCGGACTGGGTTAAACACAGAGCCAGCTGCGAAACTCCGGTTTATCCACGTCCACGCCATGTTCGTAACGTAAGGAAGAGACACAACTCGTTCGACGAAGGAAACAACAGTTTCTTCACGAGATCTGTGATATCGACACCGACTCAAGAGGAAGAAGCCACATCTCAAAGATCCAATGTCACAACAATCTACCGAGTTCTTCAACCCGTTCACGAGTTCGAACCGTGAAGTATCCAACACTCTATTTTTATATATTAATGTTTGAGTTGTTTTCACGGTGGCGAATCGTGGAGTTTTTCATTTCGCCGGCGATTGATTTTAGTTACTGTTGGGTTTAACTAGATTGTCGTTATGTAGTACCAAAGATTCGGTATACGTGTTATATTTTTATTGTTCGCGGATAACCGGTACGGTTCGCAGCTTATATAGACTATTATAATTTATGGACCGAATGTTAAAATTAAGCCTCAACGGACCAACGGTTTTTAATTTAGTGGTATTCTAATGGCTCGTGACTTGGGAAGTCCAAATCTGGGCTTAAAATGTACCTACCGTACGTAGTTGAGATGGGCAATTTGTTTCTGTCACAGCCTTTATAAAACATCATGACTTGGTAGTTTGAAAATTCTGTTTTCCCAAAAAATAAAAGAGGTGTTATTGATAAAAGTGTAGACATAGATGATAGAACTAAAGAAAGTCTATACAAAATATATTTTTAAGTTCAAAAACTCTCTCTGGCACGAAGTACGAGGTTACTGGTGATAGCTGACTTCTTACCAATATCCACCGCAACCCAACTCTCTCCACCGACCGGACTACTGTTTCACCACCGCACCTACTTTCCGGTGAAGGTTTTTTAGCTTTCCCTCGACTCTCTGGAGTCAGAGCTTCTCCTTGACGGTCTCCTTTCAACGGTCCAATGGCCCAATTGATGCAGATCTGGAAAGGAAAATGCTACTATAAATGCCAAGACTTTATGACTGTCTCCCTCCCAGGGAACATGTCCTAAATGTTTACTGCATTTTTAAGAATCTCTACTGTGTCGTACAGTTTTTACCTTGCTTACTAAGGATTTACCCGATCTAGGGTTTCTACCGTGTCTTTCTCTGCGGTAATTCACGAGTTAACTACCTGTCTTAATGGCTCACCGGCCCTCACGTGTGGATAAAGGGAAATGGTTGGCTGACCCACCACATAAGTCGCGAAGACCACCTGTGAAGATCCCTGCTCCTGACAGCAGAGTTTTAATTGATGAAAACAGACTCACTCTGATTGGTCGAGTAACAAATCCAAGTATTCAGAAGACCAGAGCTTTGGTTGACTTCTTTCTCCAGCATTGGAAGGTTGCTGGTACTATTACAGGTCGTGCGCTTGGACCAAACCTGTTCCAGTTTAGATTTGACTCTGAATCAGATCTGAAACAAATACTCTCCCAGGCTCCCTTCCATTTCAAACGTTGGATGATGATCCTGCAACGTTGGGAACCTATTGTCTCTGACTTCTTCCCGGCCCTCATCCCATTCTGGATAACAATTCACGGACTACCTCTCCATCTATGGACAGAAGAGGCGCTAGACACAATTGGAAATGAATTGGGACCGGTGGAGGGTTATGATGTAGAACAAGGGAGAATTAGAGTCCTTATAAACGGTCTCAAACCGTTGGAGATGACGTTGGATATTAGCTGCCCATCTGGGGAACTAAAACAAGTGGAGCTTGAGTATGAGAATCTGCAGAAACATTGCTTTGTATGCTTCTCACTCTCCCATGAAAAGGAAGAATGTCCCGCCCGTCAATCCCTCAGGAACCCTAGTGCGTCAAACATGGGTATTTCTCAAACCCGAACTAAAGAACGTCTGGATGCTGATCGGAGAAGACAGACAGAAAAGAAAATTGCGAGGTCTTCTGCTGACTACACCAATCCAGGACATTCAAACTCCAGACCTTGGCTGAATGCCCCAGCAAGAGAACCCACCTGGGAGGCTGATTGGGGACAAGAGAAAAACTTCCGCTTTACTTATGGAGCAAGACATGATCCCCACCACCAACCTATCAGTCAAGGTACTCATATATCCAGGGAACGTCCTTCGGCTAAAGCAAGACTTTCCTTCTCAAAAGGAAGTGTTACGGCCTCTCAAGGAGGACTTCGCACACGAAGTGATAATATAGGACAGAGAAATGAATGGAGACCTATTATTAGGGGATCCCACGCGGAGACCATCTCAAGATCTGTCAACTCCCAAGTCTCCCATACCCCTTCTCCTCGTCCTCAGCGTGAGAAAGACTCTCTACAACAAGATGGATCTCAGGAAACAAGACAAAAATCAAATGAGGGAAGTGCTCCATCGTATGAAAGACGCTCTGCTTTAAACAGACTTTCTCTGCCGCCAGGAAGAGTCCCTCTGCTACATGACGGTGTTGCTAATGCAGAGTCAGGAAGGTTACAAGAAGTGGAAATCCAATTTTTGGAGGAGACAATTCCCCTGCAATCTACGGTCAGGAGTATACCCTCAAGCTCCCGCAACCCAATCCTGGAAACTCCTGAGTACAATCCAAGCCAGGATCGCTCTCCAATTAGATCTTTGAGTGAGGACAGACTTCATGTTTCCTTAAGATTGGGACCTTTACCGGGAAGTGCAGAAGAGGAAGAGACTATCATCCCAAAGAGAACCGCAGCTAATAAAAGACTAGCTTCTACTATCTCTAGAGCAGAGAAGGGTAAAGGTGCTCTACCTCCAACCAAGAAACGGGTTGTTAGAAGCCCTGCGCAGGGTGTTAGTCTAAAGAGACGGAAGGTGGTAAGACATCAGAATAATTCAAAAGAAAAACTCATGTCAGAGGCGATTAATTCTGATTTAGCCTCGGTGCGACGTGGAGCTACTCAACCTCGAACTACGATCATACCACCTTCCAAGAAGAAAGGAACGGATTTTCGGTCCGCTCCAAAACCTCTTCCTTAGTGAATCTGAGCTGGAACTGTCAAGGTATCGGGAGCAACCTGACAGTTCGTCGTCTACGGGAATTTCGCTCCAAAAATTCCCCAGATATTATGTTCTTGATGGAAACCAAAAGACAAGATGATGAAGTCTACAGGATGTATAGAGGCACTGCTTTCAGTAATCATTTTACAGTTCCGCCAATTGGGCTCAGTGGCGGGTTAGCCTTATCCTGGAAAGACAATGTAGAGATGGAAATCCTCACGGCATCACCAAATGTAATCGATACGAAAATTGTGTTTAACAATAAAACGTTTTTTGTATCGTATATTTATGGTGCCCCTAATAGAGAAGATCGCCCTAAATTCTGGGAATTCATGGCCGACCTCGGTGTGCAACGCACCTCGCCATGGCTGATCACCGGCGATTTTAACGATTTGCTGAACAATGATGAAAAAGTGGGAGGGCCCTTGAGATGGGAAGGCTCGTTCCTATCCTTCAGGAACTTCGTATCTCAGAATGGGCTCTGGGACCTTCAGTTCTCTGGAAATTCTCTCTCGTGGCGAGGTACCCGGTACTCTCATTTTATTCAGTCGCGATTAGACAGATCTATGGCAAATCTGGACTGGATGGAAATGTTTCCTGCGGCTCGAAGTGAGTACCTCCGCTTCGAAGGATCGGACCATAGACCTCTCCTTACTCACTTTGATCTACACCTTAAAAAGAAGAAAGGAATGTTTCGCTATGATCGAAAGCTCAGCACGAACCCCGAGATGCGAACCCTGGTAAAAGACACTTGGAGTCTCAACAACTCTGAAGTAGAATCTGTACTTACAAAGATAAACCGGGTTCGAAGGAAATTAGTTGACTGGGCAAAACTTCAGACGGCTGCGACTAAGGAGTGGATATGTTCTCACCAAAACCTCCTTGAGCAGGCTCTCTCTGATGTTAACCCAAATCCTGTTCTCATTAACGACCTTAAGCTGAAACTTGATACTGCATATAAGGAAGAGGAATCCTTTTGGCGTCAACGCAGTAGGATCCAATGGCTAAGTGAAGGTGATAAAAACTCAGCCTTCTTCCATGCAGTAACTAGGGGACGTCGAGCGTGCAATAAATTCTCCACTGTGGAAGATGAGACCGGAAAAGCCTTCTATGAGGAAAACCAGATTGTTAATGCCTTTGTGGGTTTCTATCACAATCTCTTCTCCACAAGTTATTCAGACGCCAGTACGGTGGTTAATGAAGCTCTTCACCCTAAGGTTTCACCTGAAATGAATCAACTGCTCATAGCTCTACCCGATAAGGCGGAAGTTACTGCTGCAGTCTTTTCGATTCATCCGGATAAGGCCCCGGGACCAGATGGTTTCTCAGCCGGGTTCTACCAAGCTTTTTGGGATGTAATTGGTGATGACATTTTTCGGGATGTTAGGCAATTCTTTGAATCTAGCCACCTCCCCCCGAGACTAAATGAGACACACGTAAGGCTGATACCAAAGATAACCGGTGCAAAAAAAGTTTCAGATTATCGGCCTATCGCGTTGTGTAACACACAGTACAAAATCGTGGCGAAGATACTCTCAAGTAGACTCAAACCGCTATTGAACAAGCTGATATCTCCTTCGCAGTCTGCGTTTGTAGCGGGAAGAGCTATTTCTGATAATGTACTAATTACACATGAGATGCTCCACTTCCTACGACAATCTGGCGCCCAAAAGCGTGTGGCAATGGCGGTCAAAACGGATATGAGTAAGGCGTACGACAGGATTGAGTGGGAATTCTTACGTCTGGTCCTGATGCGGCTTGGTTTCCATGAAACCTTGATAGCGTGGGTACTGGAATGTGTATCTTCTGTCTCTTACTCATTCCTGATAAATGGTGGACCACAAGGCAGTGTGCGACCGTCAAGGGGACTCCGCCAAGGAGATCCGTTATCCCCATATCTTTTTATCCTTTGCACCGAGGTGCTGTCGGGACTGTGTAACAATGCGTTGGCAAATGGCAGTTTTCCAGGAATAAAAGTCGCACGAAACTGTCCACCGATAAATCACCTCTTGTTCGCCGACGATACCATGTTCTTTGGGAAATCAAGCATTGCGAGTTGCTCTGCTCTAAGCTTGATTCTCAACAAATATGAACAAGCTTCCGGCCAGCGTATAAACCGGTTGAAGTCGGCTATTACGTTCTCGTCAAAGACAAACAATGAGGTTAAGGAAAGAGTGAAACGAGACCTTAATATCAACAGTGAAGGTGGCATAGGGAAGTACCTCGGTCTCCCGGAACACTTTGGAAGGAAAAAAAGGGATATTTTTGCCTCAATCGTTGATCGTATTAGACAACGAGCCCATAGTTGGACGTCTAGGTTTCTGTCCAATGCGGGGAAGATGGTGCTTTTGAAATCGGTCCTAGCTGCAATGCCGACATACGCTATGTCGTGCTTTAAGCTACCGAAGTCCCTTTGCAAACAAATACAGGCTGTCCTCACAAGATTTTGGTGGGACATGAAACCTGAGTTGAGGAAGCTTTGTTGGGTCTCATGGGACAAGCTTA